AGAAGGCCTAGGTAGAAAAGTCACGGCTCTCCACTGTAGATCGTGATCGTTGTTCTCGAACCCAGGAGGAAGTTAAAAAGAGACAATGTAGTCCCGATAAAGTTCAAAATGGGTAATTTAATGAAGTAGCGTGGTTTTGAAACAGACAGAGCAAACCACACACGGCGCCGTGTCGGGAGGAGGAAGGAGAGAACCCGATTCTCCATGCAGCGTCTGTATACTGTATGCGATTCCTGGCTTCTCTTCTCATTAGCTGCTTCGACCAAGGAGGGGGGGGGGGTCTTCCTCCCCCTCGTTCTTCTGTGTTTGATATCGCGTAAATAAGAGGATTTAGAGGTTGTGTGTTCATTGTATAACTCCACACGCCTTTTATCCTCATATTCTCATTCATGACTTTTTATTTAATGCATTTTAATGGCTCTAATCATTGATAACGTGAAGCCGGAAGTGACGTCATGTAAAGAACGGGGTTGTCTTTCAATAAAGCTTTTTGAAATACACTGTACGTTCATTAAATATTCAGCAATAATAACATCTCGCCATCAATAAATGTAGTGTTGAAGTCAGTGTGTTTTAGTGTGCAACACTACGTGTCATTTTCACCTTAAATTCACTTTTTCTCAAAAACGTAAGATTAGCCACATGCTAATGCTAACCGGAGTTGAAGAATTTTCAGAATAAAAGTTTTAAAGGTGACCTATCATGCAAAATGCACTTTGGTACGTATTTTATACATGAATATGTGTCCCCGGTGTTCCAGGGAACTCACCAAGTGTCAGAAAACACAACCCTCTCTATTTTCGTCCATACCCAAATCTCTAAAAAAGGGGCTGCAACGGATCTGATACAGACTGATCCAGATTTGAACACTTCTATGACGTCACAGAAGTGGCGCTACGGCTATTGGGCCAACTCCACCAATCAGGAGGAGACAGCCACGGACATTGCCGTTGGAAGGCACTGGAGACGCTGTAGTACATATGCCAGGCCTGTAGATGATGCTGTTCTCACAGAATCAGCCCATGCAAAGACAGTGTTAAATTGAGCGAAATGAGGAGTGGCTAAAATGCATGATCTGTTTGGTATTTTGAAAAATAAAAAGCATAAATATGCCTTATATAGGTATGGTCCTACACTATATTATTCAAATATAGCATGATAGGTCCACTTTAAGTTAAGAGTGTGTGTGAACTTCCGGTTTTTCATAATAAAACAGCTTTAATTAAAACCGTAATATTTAATCTAAATTACGCCATATAAACATTGATTTTAATTTCTTACACCACTGACGTGGAGATAATCCTTTTGAACTAAATGTGTTCAGTATTACAAAAATATTGGCCACAAAGCTTATTTTGTGCAATATACCTAAATCCAAGGGGGAACATTGAATTCCTTTTTTGGAAATGGAGCCAATACGATGCAAACTTCCAGGTCGGCCTACACAGTGACCTCATCACTGCACCACCCTATTTTTTGGATAATTTTAACTTTGCAGTTCATGTGTAAAAGGAGCTGTAGATTAGCATTGAAGTTCAACAGAAAAAAGTTGAAAAAGAATATGAATGCTTTTTATTTACCTGTGGTTCAGGTAAGAAATGTTGCTTATTGCTTGGGCAACCAGCTTTTGTGTCAGTCCCTTGAATTAAAAAAATATACAACAATCACTGAGCAATAATTGGTCAGTGATTGCATGTTATTCCTAAGAGGTTTGCATGTAAAACATTTGCAGGATCACAAAGAGAACAAAAGGGACAGCAATGTCTCTGAACATTTGATATATTACAGACGGACGGAAAAAGTTTGAATTTGTTGCATCATCTTTATTGGCAGCCATAGAGCCTGTTGATCCTCACAATGTCCCAGTAGGACATGCCCTTTCTCTGGCCGATCTGGACGTTGGGGTTTGGGATGGGGGTGATGGAGTCCTTCCCCCGCTGGTTGGAGAAGGCTGTTTTTCCATAGTGCATGATGGAGGTGTAGTCGTCGGGGGTGTTCAGGTTGTTGGTGGCCTGCCTGTAGAAGTTGAAAGCTTTCTCGTGGGGAATGTAATCCCAGTTGATCCTGACGTGTGGGTCGCGGTCGCTCCTGGTCTGTTCATGCTGGAAGCCCAGAGCGTGGTTGATCTTGTGCTGGATGGTGCCGTGGTAGACGCAGCCCCGCCTGTTGAGAGAGAGAACCTGTCTGCCTCCCATTCTACCCAGATGGGAGTAACACCCGCCCTTGTTTTCAATGCTGATGTAGTCATACTGGCTCTGGCCGGGGACGAAGTGGAGGCAGGTAAAGCTGTTAAAGGCCCTCTTGGCATAGGCGATCTTCTGTCTCTCCAAGCTGGTGAATTGACTGCTCGTGGTGAAGGGGATCGTCACCAAGCCGTTGGAGCCTTTCTTCCACAGGCAGCTCTGGGACCAGCACTTCATGGCATTTCTGGTTTTGGGAGCCAGCAGGATCTCATCAGTGGCGTTGTTGGAGGTCAGAATCCTGGTGGTGATGTTGACAGTGTCTTCTTCTTCTTCTTCTTCTTCATTGATGTTTTGAAGCGACCGACCCCAGTTCATAGACGGTTTAGTGTGGTCCACTACACTAGGCCGTGGTTGTTGACCAGGTCAACTTTACTGGCGTGAGGAGTTCTGCTCCAGGCTGGGGCGCAGTATTCCGCTGCAGAGAAGACCAGGGCTTGTGTTGATAATCGAAGCGTCTTAGCGGAGGCTCCCTCCGCTAAGTTCCAGCGAGGCAGCGAGGCAGCGAGGCAGCGAGGCAGCGGATCAGCGCGACCCTTGATGTTAATTTGGACCTGACTTCTTCAAGGTGTTGTTTGAAGGGCAGTGTCCCATCCAGACGCACGCCGAGGTACTTCGAGGATTGCTGGACCTCCAGACGTTTGTTATTGATGCGCAACTCAAGTTCCCTCCTAGCTTCTCTGGTGCTAAGATGGTATGCCGCTGCTACTGTCTTTCCGATGTTGAGCTGTAGAAGCCACCTTTGAAAGTATGCTACCAGGGTGCCCATGTCGTCGTTAAGGCCATCTTCCATCGCCTTCCATGTTGGTCGTCTCAGCATGATGGCTAGATCGTCTGCATAGCCGTACTTTCTGGATGATGTGTGAGGTAGGTCGTATACATATATGTTGAACAGCATCGGCGAGAGCATGTCTCTCCAAGTGTGTGTGTGTGAGTGTTTAAGTAGATGCATGAGTGCATGTGTAGATATTTGTAATTTCAAAATTTATTTTTTACTAATTTTGACTAATTTTGTTTGATATTGAATTTTTCATTTTCGGGTTTCTAAAAATATATGATTTGCAAAACTGTACTCTTAATATAATGTGACCCCAAATAAATAAATAATAAAAAAAGAAAAATAAGAAAATGAACAAGATATGATGTGAACGCAAAGTGACAATGGGGGTCCCCTGGAATTATTGACTATTGAGGCTAGTAGCACATGGGAAGAAACTGTTTTGATGGTGCATGTTTTAGGTTGTGATAGACAGCAGCCTCCTGCACCTGCATTGTTAAGTTTAATAGACTTACAATACAAACATACATTTTTAGCCTTGACCCCACACCAATATCAGCACTGCACCACTGCTAGCTTCTCATTGGCTTGTTAACTTAACTTGTCTTGGCACGAAAACTGTTTTTTATGAAGTTGCCTTCTAATAATAGGGGGGAAAATTGTAAATGTTCTCTGTTTAACAATTCTTCATGGTTACTGTATGAACATGGACCAGTTTGATGCCCGTTACAAAGAAGTTAAAGGAAACGTCATTTTCTCCCTTTGACCTTTTTTTCATATCTCCACATTCAGCAAGTTTACGCTTATTTGACAAATGTAATTTAATTTAATTAAACTATAAAGGCATTCCACACTTAATATACAAATATTTAATAATTAATTTAATAATGTAATTTAATCAATCTCTGCTTTTGCTTTCTGTCCCTGCCTGATGGACATCATTAAGAAGAAAGGTTTCACTAGTCAACTGCCAATTATGTAAATTATCGTAATGCTAACGCTAAGAAAAATATATTGTGCGGCAGCATTCATCAAGGTTTTCTGTAGATATCCAAATGTATGAACTCCGATTCACTTAATTAAAAACAGGCTGAACTATATAGCTGAACTATAGAGCTGAGCTGACAAAAAGGAGCTCAAAACACAAAGAACTTCCACAAAGGAGCTGAAGCTGATAACACATATGTTTTGTATGTCAACATCCAACTGTGTTTTGTATCATTTTTAATAAAAGTGTAATCCAAGTATTGTATTGATAGTGAATTATGTATATTTGTCTTGAAGGAAAAAAAGCCTGAAACTAAACTGGAATAATAAGTCATTTTAACCATATTTTCAAAAATCAAAGCTCAAGTAAATTAACTGGTCACTGAATAGTTTCATTATCCACTATCGTATTTATGTCAATAAATACGACTGAATAGTAGATTATTTTTTTATTACAAGTAAAAACAATTAATGTTTCTACAAAAACTCGAAAGATCTTGAAGCTTTCTGTGCCTTCATTGACATAACATTGTACTGCATACTACATGCTATTAATTTAATGTTTAATGTACTGCATACATCATCTCAAATGTAAATATTAACTATGCTATTACCAGCAGATTGCTCCCACTGACATATACTGAAGCAATATGTCTTCTGTGCATCACATAACTGTATTGATTCAAACCTTCCGAGCTACCGTTAAATGGAAATGATTCATCAAAAATCTTAATTTAACATCTGACAGTCAATTATTGAAATCATGCAATCAGCACTCCTATAAAGACGGTGTTTCTCAATGTCGAGTACGCTTGCTTGGTAGCATATGTCTACCGAGTCACTTGCTTCAGAAGCAAGGCAAGAATAGTTCCTGTCATTCGGAAAACGAAGAGTGGAATAGGCGAGCAAGTGTGCAGGTGTGCGTCAAGTGAGAGGCCCCATACAGTGGACTGGTAGCTGGCGAGGTGTTTTTTGAGCAAGGAACCGAAGGCCCAACAGAGTGGAAAACTGAATATCCCCTTGGGGATTGATATAGGGTCACCTTATCTTATCTTCTTTAGAAAGCACACTTGAAACACATTTAATTTAAAGTTGAAGTAGGGCAACAATGCATATATTTGGCCATCTATTCTGTATGCTCTTTTTATTGGTCTCTCAGCTTTATACTGAGCTGAAACTCACTTTAAAGCTCAGTAAAGCCCAAGTAAATGTGCTGTCTGCACAATGCAAATCACTCAATGCACAAACATAATTAGTTACGTATTTAAATAAATGCACTGGGATAACCATCTATGTGTGCCTTCAAATACAACCAAGTCCAAATAGAAAGAGAGACTCGGGTTTTTACTCAGCTGTGTAACGTAGCTATTGAAAGATGGAGGACGACTGAAATCAAAGTACACAGGCCTTGCATCCCAAGCATGAATCTGTGGGGATAATGGACCCACTGAATGTAGAGCAGCTAGCAATAAGGTGCTGCGGCGCATGAATAGAGATGGAGTGCGCTCCATGGCCCAATCATAAAGAGGCCCCCATGTGCACGGCCATCATTTCAGCGGGAATTGAAAAACTGATAATACTAGTACTTTCTGCCAGTTTTGGACGCTGTAAAGCAGGGAAATAACACAAACACAACACAATGTAAATCTACGCTGTTGTGTGAATTTCCCTTGACCTCGCCTCCAGTGTATCTGAGGGTGCTTTGCTTTATGAGAGGACCAGACAGATAAAGGATGTTGTTTCCGTGCCGTCACAGTGCTTTGTCTCCCCATTGGCATGAATAATAAAGGCTATTCACCTTGTTTATCTTTCAATTCAATATTTACTCCTTGTCAGATGCATTTGGGGGCTTTTCATCATCACCGTCCTCCGAGCGCAACATATTCCTCTATGGCATTTGTCCTTGCTGTTAATGTCTGATGAATAAAGGGTTGGGGGGGTTGAGGGGTGATTCCTGTGCCACAGTTGCCTTGTTCTTCACTGTCTGTTGATGTTTATAGCATCTTCGCTAACGTCACACTTCCTCCCCAAGGATTCCTCCTCTTTCCGGGACTCCCTTTCCTTACCCTCAAGGTACATTTGGGTTTGATTGAATTTGGCAAGGCAAAGTAGGTCATTGGCTTTGATCAGTCTTATGCTTTGTTAGTGTGAAGGTTAAACCTGAGGCGGGTACAAAACCACCAGCAGCTTCGGACGGCCACACCTTTTCTTTCTTCTTTTCTCCCTGTTTATTTCCACCACTCTACAGTGTTATGAAAATGTGTTCTCCACCACATCGATAAACAAGAGCACAGATTGTGACACAGTTGTTAAAACACATTTTCGTATTTGGGCCCAATAATACTTTTTTTCCATTGACTAACATTGAGAAAGAGACATTTGTAAAGCAATGTATAACTTTCTCTGAGCTTAATAAAATGCCCATTCCAAACACTTGAATGGCCTGCGCATGCTCTATGGCCCCGTTGCCAAAAGTTCCCTCGAAAATGTAGGTATTTTTATTTCTCGAGGTAGGCCATTTTGGCTTAATGCACCACTGATCAACTTTCAGGAATGAACTGGGCCCCGCCTCCAACGCTGTATCCACATCTATTTATACATTATTGAGATAAACACATAAGCACTGCTTTCATGTTACATATTTCTTTTAAAAGGCAATCTGCATTTACGTTACAAAATGCATCTAATTGAATTTTGTGCTTCCAAATGTCGTTCATTATTATTGTGTCTATGATATGTATGTGTGTTTTTGTGAATATATAAAATAATAAAGATCCAAGTAAACCAAAAACAAATTGCTAGACTTGTATATTATTCTTTAGATTGTTATCGAGCATAGAACAGCCTTTTCAAGTCCAAGGAAAATGACATCTTCCAATACATCTTGCTAAAATGCAAATTCAAATAACTAATCACAGACATTTCTATTAAAAGATGTTACAAAACGTTATTTTTCACAAGTTTCATTTTGATTGCATGTGTGTACTCTTGGTTTTTCAGCTCACATAGACAAGGGAATATTTCAAACAAACCTGGAGCTCTGTTGGAAAAGTACTAATCAGGAGTACGACATGAACATCTTCAAGACAACAAATGGACAGCGCTAAGGTCTGACATAAGATATAGGAGGGGCCCCTCTGTAAACCTGCCTAGAGCAGGTCATTAGTGTAAAGTAAGGAAATGAGGAAGACCCCCAGTTTGCCTGTGGGATCTCTGCAGGATATCTACACACTAGTCGCAGTTACATGGCTATTGAAAAGCCAACAAGTTATTAGTTCTTGAGATGTGTGGTCATTGACTAAAGCTGTTGGATGCGTTGGACAAGAAGAACAGGGCACTTACAAAAATCCTTCAAATGCATCCTGATGAGGCCCTTGAATGTGTTCTGCCTTTTAAGAACAGCAGCTACACTGTTTATTTTAACAACTGGGTTTCTAGAATAAATATCAATTAGTTGTTACATTAAAAACATTTCAGAAAATAGGGAAAAAGTACATCCCAGTTTTTCAATCTCCAAGCTACTGTATGCCTTTAATTGTCTTGTTGTATAAGTCCCAAAACCAAATGATATTCACTTTAATTTTATATTCAAAATATACATTTGGACATCTCCCTATTTGAGAGGCTAAGCAAAATAAAAGCTCTGCCATTTTTGCATGAAAAATAACTAAAACAATAAAATGCATTGTCAAAAGAGATTGGCTCAAATCGATCAAACCAAAGCACATGAAATCTTCTTAAAATATTTTTATAAAATTACCAGTTGTAGCATTGGGTTATTTCAGACCTGAATATTGGACAATACCATTATGTTCTGTAGCTGCTGTGTGCCATCTGAGAAGAAGAATAACAACTTATAGGGAATCAAACTATAGCTAAATGGTTATTGTTATTTCTGAACCATTGACCCATTGCACACATAAGACCACGTCTCCTCCTATTATCATCAACAGCCGTGAAGGAGAGTTGCGAAAGGGTGGGGGGATTTGGAGCACTCCACAGGCACGTTGCACACAATTAGCCAGCTACAGAGGGACC